GAAGAGAGGGCAAATAGGACCGACAGACAGACAGCTTCATCTCTGCACCATCAATCAGCAACGATTCGAGCCACAACGGCGTCCCACACCTCTTAGATTGCTACAGTACTTGAATGGCCTACCCGCTTTACTCAGCGGTTCGGGCTCTTCTCTCGGAGTTGTTGTTCCTCCGTCGCGTGCAGCAAGCAAGCGCAACCTCGGAGTACAGACGTGCGTTTTCGAAACTGCTGTATACGGTTACCTGTGACCATGCAAGGTGTTCTTCACTGTTCTACCTTCTACGGCTGTGCTGGAAAGAATGTTGCAGCTGCTCCAAAGAACATGAAAGACTCTCAAAGTCTACCAGCCACCTGGAAACAGAAGGGCAAAGAACACCTGAACAGCCCCCACCGCAAACAATCTCCCACACTACAGACGGTTTTGGAAACCGCCCATGGGACACACATCCCATGGGTCACCTATGGGCCGCCCATGGGTTCTACATGGGCCCATCAAGTATCCACCGTGGCCACTTCAACCTAGAACTCGCGACCGGCATATCAACCAAGAACTTAGCCACCTTCTCATCAACCTAGAACTTAGCCACCAGCGCCAACCTAACACATACATGCCGTGTGGGCTTGGGGTTAGGGCTAGGTTTAGCGTTAGGGTTGTTGGCCGTGATAGTGCCCGTTCCAAAGCAGATAGACTGATCAATATATTAAGAGTGCACTGGTTCGGTTGAAGAGCTTCCATTGGCATGCCCATGAGTCACCCATGGGTTCTTTGTTGCTCAATGGCCACCAATGGTTGGCCCATGGGTGAGTCATGGGAGTCCCACGGGTTGTCTAGGAAAACCGTAGAAAGTGTGGGAGACCCACCGTTAACGACCAGTAAAGACAAATGTATAACTGTACTTCTATTTCTGATTACCCCATGTTGCGTCCCCAAAACTGAGAAAAATCACTTCGTCCACCAACAACCTGAACATTGAAAGATACCCAAAACAAGACACACCCAACAGACATGTCATTACATAGACTGACACAAGCATCGTCGCGCGTTCTGTTGCAGTGAGGATTCAGTGGCGAATACCATTGCCGCAAAAAAAACATCTCCGATTTGTTCCCATGCGGATACTGCAGCGTGTTTCTCTTCCCATTGGTATCGAGGGTGATGGATGTGGCCGACGGTGGGCCCCAAGTGTTCCTCCTTGTACAAGACAATACGGTGCCCGCCCTCTCTCTCTGTCTGTATACCGTGATTCCCTGCGATGCGCCAGCCGGCTGTGTACCTCCTCCAGAGGTCAAGCCGACAACTTTTTTCCTCCTCCGATAATCTGCAATTCCAAAAATGTATTCAACAGAATAGAGCGCAGACCGAAAGCTGACTATGCATTTACCATGTTTGTGTGTCTGTAGTGGTTGCAACAACAGCAGTCACAGCAGTGTAATCAGCTTGCCAGGCACGCGCCTGTGCTATATGGCTCTGCCTTGCGTCAGATACACCCGCCTACCGTCGTATACCCCCACCGGAACTGGACGCTGCCGGAGAACGTCAACTTCAAGTGAATTCATCACCCATTCGTACGCAGGGTATTCTTCCACATTTCATCGTCGTACATATATATGTACACTGGTCGCCCCGGTGGTCTCGTGGGTAACCTCGCAGCCTGCTAAGGGCCAGGTCATGGGTTGGAGTCCCGGCAGAGTGAGTTTTTTTGTCACTAAATATTTCCTGGTCTAGGATGAAAGCGACGCGCTGCGAAGCTCGTTGTTAGTACATCATAATCGACTTCGTAAGTCGCGAGGAAAGGGATTGCCTTACCCTTCTTGCGATAAAAATACCTCAGGTACCATCCGCAGGAGGGGGTCCAGCCCCCCTCTCCAATGTGACCCCGGTTGGGTCGTCTAACTTGTAGAAGTGGAGGATAGGGGCCAGAGGGGCAGGCGACAGAGTCCAATGATGGGAGAGAAAAAAGAATATGTAACAACCGTGGTAATGGGATGGGTGAAAATGGTCGAAATCGATTGTTGAGGTGAAGCCGAGAACGCATCCAACTCCAGGGCGAGGTAGCCGTCTCCGTTTTTACCTCTATACCTCTATATGACTTCAGCCGCTTATTTTCGAGATACATTTGTTCAACCTTGTCACATGTATTCGGAAGCAGTTCGTATTTTGGGCCGGGTGGCAGTCCTCAATAATTGGGTAGGTGCCAAAAGGCTTTCATGTCGTTATTCAGGGCAGTGCCGCTATTCCCAAAAGCGATTGAACTGAGGGATGCATCTGTGCCACGCGATTTCGGAGCCGCTATCAGGGCGTTCCGCTATACATTCAGCGTAGCGCTACGGAGGACCGTCGACTGTAGCTTGCATTGTGCAGCGGCATTTCATGTTTGAAACGGAGATGATGTGCAGGGTAAATCTTCCAGCAGGTAGGTATTTTCGACATCCATGGGTGCTTTGTGTAGAAGTTCGAAAGCGCCGCCGTGCTCGCCCCGGCAGCCCGCAACCACTCCCCTCTCAACACTAGCCGTTCTGCAGACACGAACACTCTTTCCAGGTCTTCTCACAACCGCAATCGTCCGCCGCAGCAGCCCCGTCTCGCAAGCCTCAGTCTCTCCCGCAGGAGGGCAACCCCGCCTGCCCTTGTTTGTCGATTGAATCTTATGCAGCCAACCACACCGTCCCTTGGCATACAACTTGCGACACAAACAAACAGAAGAAATGGTATTTATGTCTCTTCACCCTCGTACGGATCCATCACCGTGCGCCCTACTGCGGCAAGGTACTTTGCGCCACTTTCTGTAACTGGCTAGGGTAGTGTGCTCCTCGACATTCAAGTCGCCGACTTCGTGTGCTTCAGGGCTTCTTCCTAAATTTAATACTATATTCCTGCGGTACTGTATGTAGTACATCGAGGGGGGATTCCGCAACTTGCAGTCCTTTCCGCAGCTAGCTACAGATCCCGCAAACTCGGCAACATAGAAGTAGAACCTCGAAAAGTTCAGGGGCAAAATTTGAGCACCATTTTGAGCCGGGTAAAGAACCCCTACGCAAAAAATTCGTTTAACCCAGCCTCGGCCGAACTAGAGGTTGCTAAGTCAGTGCGGGCGCTGTCTTGTTTGTAGTGTGTACCAACTGTTGAACGTTGAAATCTAGGGAATTCCTTGTTTTAGGGAGTTTCCCGTACTTTAACACTCCAGGGTCTACTGCCTTGTTGAGTTCATCTGCGTGGACATTTTCACGTTTCCTCCCTGCAAGTCGGCTTCCTGTTCGCAGGTAGAGTAGTGTGTATCTCCACGCTTCCGTTGTTTGATTTCTCCGCTTTGTACGCCACCTCGTGTCCTTTTCCCCCGCACCTTTGTGGACGTAGCCCTGCGTCTTCGGTTTCGGCTTTTTCATCTGTCGGACTGTCAAGTTCACGAGCAATATCTCTCCTGTCTTCATCCCAACGCCGTTACCACTAAATGATCATGACGCCGACCCCACCGCATCGGTGTCGCCATCACCCCTTGGCATGCGGAATACGACCGAAAATATTTCCGTCTGAGGCGATGGGTCCCTCTACTTCCGTCTGAGGCCGGAGGTGTACTCATAGTCGTGCATGCCGTTGTCGTTAGACCATTGACCTCGCATCCCTACAAAGCCGGGACGGAGCACGCCGGGTTCTCACCGGACCAGGCTCTCACATCACCAAGCGCGAAGCGCCGTGAGATACTCGTCGAGTCGCATGAAGGGTGCGCTGCATCCTGCTAAGAGTGTTCGGCATCTTGTGCATACTTCCTTGCATATGGATGACAGCTAGCTGTGTATGACGTAGTATATTTTCTGGTGCGTTCACTTCCTGAGACAGTTGTAAGCGCTGTGTAACTGCCTCGAGGGTGCTTGACCATTTTCACAACGTGGTGCGATCATCCTCCTAGCGCGGAGTGAGGGTTGTCGACCCCGCACAACATGATTTACTCGACCACCATCATGGTTACCGCCAACAACAAAACAGAAGTAAATAAAAAAAGGTAATCTGGTGGCCGAGTTCACGAAGTGAATTGGCTTGTTTTACAACGTCGTTGCCAAGCGACGAAAACTCAACCCCGATGGCAAACACCGAGGGGGGGGCTTGTTTTACAACGCCGTTGCCAAGCGACGAAAACCCTGATCGATTATTCGGGTGGCTCAGTTGTGTGCGATGGGAGTGTAGGGCAGCTCGGCCATGACGGGCCGTAGGGGTAGGTAAAGTCGTGCAGACGTGCGGAAAAACGTGTTGTATCCGTGTTGTATTAATCGGGGGCGTGCTTGAGCTCGTCATTCCATCACGGCATCAAGTCACGCATAACGCTCAAACACCCAAAACGAATCTTCATGAATCTCCACCAGTCTACCACACTCCCAAGGAAAACATAAAGAAACTTCTTGTCCCTCCGTAGTTCGTCACTGCAATACCCGCATATGTATACGCAATATACCACCCGCATGCTATGCTACGAGTATATCGAATAAACCCAACCCCGATGGCAAACACCTGGGGAGGGGGGTCAGGCCGGAGGGGGGCAATGGGCCTCCTCGGCCGGAGTACTTGCAGACTCAAGTACACTTATGTCGGAGCCCTGAGACCCACGAATTCAACCATTGTTGCGCTCAAAAAGCAAGATGTTTTTTTTGTGCATCAGTCTGCGGTCGCCGTTTGACCAACTGTTTCGACAGTCTTCCGCCTGGCGGAGCGGGCCAGTCTCTCGATCATAACGCCCCTGTCGTGAGGTTTTTCTTGCCTGCGTCAGTCAGTGTCTCTCATTTGTTGTAATTGATGGTGGTCGTGAGGCAGCCTTGACTCTCTTTTCGGCGTATCTCTCATGAAACTGCTGCACTCAACAACGGTAGCCTTGTCTCTGTTTTCGGCGTATCTCTGATGAAGCTGCTGCACTCAACAACGACGCTAAAGGTTCTTCTTCAACTCACTAACTGTTGTTCCGTTCCGAACTCGTCCGACCCCTGTATCTCAAACTTTCAGAGAGTGTGCCCGAGATGCGAAGTCTGCGAGATGTTTGGCCTCTGTCGAGGCTCGCATTGGCTGCGTGTGTTACACTAAATGTGGGCCATACTCTTCCGGAGCTGTCGCTGTCCACACCTACATGCTGGGTGTTTACCCACAATAACAAGGCTGGGGGCACAACTGTCAAGACGCACCTGAGAAACTATGCCGAGTCACGGAATGAAACGGTTGCGTTGTGCCACAGTGATTGGTACGCTCGCGGCGATAAAGGAATCCAGGATCTTCTGAACGACAAGCCCGTGCTGATCGCGGGAGGATACGCCGAGGGTCTGCGGACTAGCGCTTTTCAAGGGTGTAAATGGTTCACCATGATGCGGCAGTGAGTTTCCATCAGCATGTCGAACTCTGTAAGGAAATCGTGCATGCTCAATCCGTCCATTCGCTCATCTGAAACGTATCCAAAAGCACACGCAATTTGTTTTGATGAGACCCCAGTACGTGTTTTGTGTCTACAATGTGGTTCACGTCGCGTGAAGCACCTTGACTTGAACCTCGGCCCCATCGACTTTGTTGCCTGTGTCCGTACAGCCCCATTGCTCGACTCATTTCGGCCTTCTACTACTGCAGCGGAGGTAATCGTGACCAATTGTGCGCGGCAAACATTCACAAACCGGAAGACGGTGACATCTACGACTTCGCCAAGCACTGGGGCAACTATGCCCTTCTACAGTTCGCGCTTGGTGTAGTAGATCAACATGAGATTTTCGCTGAAGAAGTGGACGCCCCTGCTTGGTTCAAGGCTAAATTGTACTTCGAGGGCCGGCTTGGATATCCCGGAAACATGTCGACTGCAACAAACCGTACGACGCACGACGAGTGGCAGAGTGTGTGGATACCAGACATTCTCCAGCCAGTCGAGGAACTGCTGAGGTCAAACTACGCCGCTGTTGGGATTTTAGAGCATTGGCAGAGAAGCATGATGTTGTTCGACCACGCCTTGGAGATACCTGGTTTCAATTGGACGGTCGCTTCAGCCTCCTTATCGCCACGAAAGAGTCAGAACAAGATCGTCGAGAAAAAGGCTATGCTGGCCGCAGCAATGACGGATCCGGTTTTGAGGCAGTACGTGTGGCTCGATCTGCTCTTGTATGAGTATGCCTGCAGCTTGCACGAGGAGCAGCTCAGACGATACGATTTGGCGTTGGACTGACATTTTGGCGTACACGCCGTGACAATATTTCGTAGTAAGCAGGACCAGTCGTTGTGCTCAGTGTTTACATAAACAAGGTACGTGTGATGGCACAGGAGGTCTAGGGCGAGTTGCTCCTGCTAGACGTGTTCATGTACTAGGGTTAAGGATTGCCCCTCTACCCCCCCACGGGTCGGACGGCTATCACGAGACGGATGGCAGTGAGGGTTTGGGAGGAAGTACAGTATTAGAAGACCACCGTACTCTATTAGTTGATATATTGGTGGCAACCAAAGATTAAACCGGAAGAGCCGAGCAGTTATACGTCTGTTTGTCGTGTCAAAATGCTCAACCAACATCACAACAGAGAGCGGGTGTTGCGAGCTGCTGTGTAAGAACGAGCAAAATATGAGTATGTGCAAGCGAGCCGCTGTGTGCCATATTTGTGGGCTCCCACTGACGCATACACATGGTTGTTTATGTCGTTTGGAAGCGCGTATGAAGCCCACGGGGTATCCCATGAGGCGCCCGGCCAACCAGCAAGTGTTCCGAAAAGACCATAATCTCATGAAAGCAAAATACAAGTTCCTAAGGAACCATGCGGCCTCAGATACTGACACTATTGGGAGCCCATGCGGGCCGTCCCATGGGACACGTGGGATGTCCCACCTGTTCCATGGGACGGCCCATACGAACGCGGCACTCCTGGGACTCCCCATGGCACCACGCTAGGGACGTCCCACGCGGCGCTCGATAACGGGCGTGGGACGGCCCGGCGAGGCTCCCCTACGGTGTCCCACAGGCGTTCGTAATCCTAAATAGCTATTAGCTAAAATGAGATAGAGAATACGATGCATGAATGGCGAGTTTGATTGTTAAGACGGTAACTGCGAATTCTTGTCGTTCAAACAGGGATGTGGGGGTGCAATTGACCAGGCGTCCCATACGGTGCTCGACAAGTAACATTCGACGCCCCATGGGACACGTTGGACGCCCCTAGCTGTCCCATGGGGCACGTGAGGCGTCCACTTGCTGTCCCATGGGATAGGTGTTGGACGCCTCGGTCATCCCGTCGGATGCCTGGGTGCCAACACGCCTAACTAACCAACGCGTCCCACGGCATCCCAGTATGTGACCCCAACACGCAGCGTGAACCCTCTTCCCACCTTAAGTTTTTCCGCCCACGGCGAAGGGACGTCTCACGCTGTAATGACCCATGGGCTCCCAGTCCACCCACTGGACGTCCAATTAGAACGGCATCGACATTTTTCTCCACGAAGGGGTTAAGCCAATAACGACGCGAGCCCAGCGGTTTCGTGCCCACTTCCAAACGAAACATTTTCACTGAACAATAACGGAAATTGGAGTTGACCGCAAAAACGCGTCAGGAAGGTCACAGAGCACACCCACCAAGCTGTTAATGGCTTCCGGGGTTCAACCCGAGTCATGTATACCAAGAGTAACAAGGACAAATGTGCAGGCAAGGGTGTTCGCACATCGCGAAAACTGACTCGCTGCGTTTCCGAAGGCTTTCCACTAATTCCGGCAGCGGCGGTTTCGGCGGCAGTGAGGCCGCAGGAGAGTGCGAGATCGCCCAATCCGCAACCGGGATGATCGAATGCAAAAGACTCACGCGGGACGGCTACCAACCCTCGGAATGGGCTGACGGTGTAGGATCGATCGACCCAAGCAGAATGTGCACAAGTGGTCCAGTCGCCACTCCAAGCACGTCAGCAGATTCCACCTCGGCGCATCCGGTCAGAGGAATGCGTTGAGGCCCGTCCGAAACAAACGCGTCCGACGCCGAAAGCGCGCCGTGTTCGGAACAGAAGGTGGCAAGATAGTTGCCGATGAGGGCGGGAATGTCGAACGTGCGAACAAGGTTCACCCTCGTCAAAGTGGGTTTATCGGAAACGGAGACACCCTTCCTGCCCGCGTACCGCAGGAAGTATTTGTCCCAGGGAGCGGAGGGTCCAGAGACATACGCGGAAGCTCCCACCGGAAAATCCGACGACAGAGTTTCTGCATTATGCATCCACTCGCTGACCGCATGGGCAAAGTAGCCGACAAACGGGAGATAAAACGCATCCATCACCTCCGAGAACAAGGGCGTGACCCATGGCGGCCGCGGGGACAACATATTGCCTACGCCGCTGAAGAGGCGGTGGCGCCATCACCGTAAAAGGAATGAATGAACAGCCGCACGGAGGAGGTGGTTTCAAGGGCAGTGCCAGACCCAAACTACCCTACACTCGAACTGGCATCGAACGACGACTGACTGTGGGCAGATGCAGCTCCTGACGCCTACATGGCTTCAAGAAAAGCATCACTATTGAAAGACGATGGTGAGTCTGAGTCCACAAGAGCTACACCAGGTGCTGTACACGCTTCTCCGGTACCACTATGCACACGGACACGCATCGTAGGGGTATCGCAATCCACTGAAAGGTCATCGCTCACCAAATCTGGGCCGTCTTCCGCCATTAACGGCTTCCCCAACGGCGGTGGGGAAGCGGCGGCCTCCCGTAGCCACCAAACGTTTGCGCTCGTCAGCATTTTTGGCGAAGTTTGCATACAATGGCGAGAAGACAACGCCCTCGCGTCTACGTTCCCAGAATGCGTGGNCCACAAGAGCTACACCAGGTGCTGTACACGCTTCTCCGGTACCACTATGCACACGGACACGCATCGTAGGGGTATCGCAATCCACTGAAAGGTCATCGCTCACCAAATCTGGGCCGTCTTCCGCCATTAACGGCTTCCCCAACGGCGGTGGGGAAGCGGCGGCCTCCCGTAGCCACCAAACGTTTGCGCTCGTCAGCATTTTTGGCGAAGTTTGCATACAATGGCGAGAAGACAACGCCCTCGCGTCTACGTTCCCAGAATGCGTGGTCAAAACTGCGCACCTTGCGACCAAGGTACTTGTGTTCTCTCGGGTCGGAGGCAGCCATGATTTTGGCACAAGCGACATCATCGCCGAAAATGCGGGCATCTTCTACCATCACGAACTGTATCCCGCACCCATAGCGATTACCGTGAAGAACGCACAGGGCGTCCAGTTGGACGAAATGGCGGCGGATCCCAACACAAGAAAACGTCATCGTTGTGGTATTCCTGACTTCCGTTAAAATCAGGGGCATGCTGCGCGGGTGCGCTTACCTTCCCCGAAGAAATATTGTCAAGGGATATGGCACCGCCAATCGGCAGGACAAAGTGGGTGCCGCCCGAAGACGGGCCGTACTGTGAATTGTGAGGAGAGTCAGGCAAAAGCAGCGATCCAGCCGCAGAAACGTGCGGAACCAACCGGTCTACGTGGGCGTTTTCGCGCAAAACGTCAGCGTAGGCCTGTTGAATAAGAGCGGCCTTGGTCGCGGGCGCTCGACCAACATGGCCAGCGTCCGCGAGAGGCTGCGGACCGCAAATTTCGTGACAAAGAACATGAACGTTCCGATCTGGGAAAACGTTGCTTTCGCTCGGCAACGGCGGTGCAGTCAGCATAGGGCGACGTTGATGCTCCCCAGAGAAACGTCACGAAGGGTCTGACAGGGGCGCGGTGGGTACGAACGCGCCCGAGCCACCACGGCGGGCTTGGCGCCGTCCCGAAGGTCCCTGAGCTCCGGCGGGGTTGGCTAGACCACCCGGAGCCGCCAAAACGGAAGGAGGCGCGGATGCCATGCCTCCAGGGGGCGTAGACATTGGGGCGAGCATCCGTGAGACACACGAAGTCTTGTCGTTCCAGCACCCCCACCACAAGGCTATACTCAGCGCCGGGTCCTGCAGACGACGCCACAATGTTATGGAGGAAAAAAGAAATATAAGGGAAGGAAGCTTCGGGTACTCTCAGTTGTTGTTTGCCTTCTCGCTTTAGCCTTCATAGACCAGGTCCACTCAGCGCTCACTCGGAGAGAGCGGGAGTGGGGCTGGGATTTTGATCCTCCATTACGCTTTACTTGAATACCTCACTGTCAAATAATGTGCTTGACCAAGTTGACTTGGCCACCAAAACCGTGGAGTAACTATACGACGGGTGAGAAAGCCGGCCCGGAGTGTCTAAGAATCGAGTAATGAATTGGCCTGTCGCGAAACTACTAACCCCAAGCCATCAAAGTCCTTCCAAAGCTTTGTACCAAACGTGGGCCGCGACCGGCACAACAGAAACAGAAAAGCGAGTCAACCAAGTGTCACCTGAGACCATCTCGTACCCGGGAGCACTGAAGCCTTCGGCCTGATTCCGAGCAAGCTCTCGGTCGGCCGAAGCTATCCAGGCATGGCGATAAGCCCGGTTGCCTTGTGCGCGCTGACTAGCGTTACCAGACCAGTATAGCAATGTGTTTTCTGTTTTCCTGCTAATCGGATTCCCTTTCCCACGACAGCGTCAACAAACCCGCCCAATGTGTCAGATATAAAACAGCTACCACACCACTTCGTCCACGTCCAATTTGGTGCCCAGGAATCATTTCAACATCTTGACGACTAGACTCTTCCACAGTATCGTTACTATACGAGTGCAAAACCTACTGGCCAGCAAATGTATGGGCAGGTCATCTGCGTCGTACGGGTTGGTACACGGTTTGCATCGCGAGACGGAGACATGGTTACGAGTTTCGTCCCAGCATGTCGGACGGCAGGTCCAAGTAGAGAAGTTTGCGCTCCGCAGGCTTTCCATCCGGTGTATCCTTCGCTTTGGCCGGGACGACAGCAAAAATCTAATACGGTCCAGTGTAGTTAAGCGAAAGCTTCGCTTTGAGCACCAAAACATCTGTGTGTTTCCGCACACCCCGCCGAATAATAGCGGCGGAGTTGTAGACGCAAGCCCAACCAACAACTTCGTATTCCGTAATCTGACGAAACCCGTCCAACAGCTCGGGAAAACCGAGTGAGATAAACGCCCGCGGCGTTATCGACTTCGATACTGGTGTCACCGTGTCCGTCCGCATCGGTCGCCGGCAAGGGAAACCGCGAAAGAAAATCCGCATTGGCGTTGGCAGCACCTTTGCGGTAGACAGGTATAATTGAACGTG